CCATATTCAGCAATATTTTAAAGGGCTAACGGACGCCACTATTACCGAGAAAAAAACACCTAATATTTAGGAGAAAACCAAGGAAGGTAGGTAACAAAACAATTATAGGAAAAAAAGGCGAATAGAAAAAGTAGTATCTTGAAAAAAACTGAAAAAATATAAGAGAAATGCAGGACAAATAGTGGTTGGGGTAAAAAAAAAAACAACAAACAACGAAAATATCCAATCAAACTTATTAACAGCCGAACTTAAACATAAATCTTTTCCAAAATTTCAGAAAACATATGATCTATGAATTTATTGATTTAAATACAAAAAGTTCTTTCATCAACTTAGTAATTTATTTATGGGATGCACCCTTCTAAAATATCCCTTAAAGCATTCTTTAATTTGTGCTAATAGTTTTTTCCACCAGAAACCCCCTAGTAAGGTAATGCCAACATTTTAATTCCGCTTGCGAAAATATTTGCGGAATATAATTTTGCGCTGTATGTTTGCCAGGCCACAATGCCAGACATAAGCTCGCACCCATTAGAAAGGAAATAAAAGGACACCGAGCAGAGCTCACATCCTGGTTAAAAGGGAAGAGCGTAAGGTAGACAACAGGAGCTTAAAAAAAAGGTCGAGAAAAAACAGGTAGAGGGGCTGAGCATTGTTACCAACTTAGATTAAAAGTGATAGTCAGACAAACGCTCCTAGCAGCGCCACCAATTGAGAAAGCAATCGCAGCTCGGGAAAAATTGAAGATACAAAAAGTGGAAAAAGAAAATGAAAAAACTAAACCAGGCAAGCCCAAACCAGGAAAAGGAAAGTTAGGGAAATGGGAATGATGAGGAAAAAAAGGGAAAATAAAAACAAATTTATAATTGAAATCAGTGTCAAGACAGTCAGAGGAGCAAGAACAGAAACAGGAGCAACCAGGACAATTCAGGATGGCACTTAAGTCGAATGGCCAAAACAAGCAGACGGCACTGGGAAATGGCGGAAAATCCAACTGCAACTGCAAGATGCAGAAATTAAAGGCGAAACGAATAAAAAAAAAAAAAAAAAATCCCAGACCAAGGAGCGCACACAAATTAGCTAATGTTGAATAAAGCCAAAGTCAAAACCAATTCCATTCCCTCAACTTCTCCAAGTTTCCGCAGAGAGAGCAAGAACGAGAGGGAAAGAGAAGGCCGACATAGCCCCGTCTCACTTCCACAATTGGGTCAACTAACATTTGGAGCAAATGGCCAAGTGCGACGGGCCGTGACAGAAGCATGAAAAGTGCTTTAAACAAACATTGGCCAGATCTTAAATTTGGTCAAGAAAGTGGTTACGATAGTGGTAAGTCAGAAAACACTTGAAACTGAGAAATCTACTGAATTCGAAGGCGCTGCAAAAGTGCAAAGCCCACAAAACTAAAAAGATTGCTAAATAAATACATAAGAAAAGAAATATTAAAAGCATTTTTAGTTGAGCTATTGAAATAATGCTGTGATAATCATTAATTAGTAACACATATTCGATAATTGCGCATTCACAAATAGAATTTGTGTTTAATTAAACTAGAGGATTTAGAAAATATTACTGAAGTGAAACAAATATATTCATTTCAAATCAATAGTTGAAAACACCACAAGCATATTGAAATAATTTTGCAATTTTCATGCAGTACACATATGCTGTCCTCAAAAATATTAATTTCGATAATTCAAAGAGAAATTGTGACAGAGATATTTCCAAAAATGTGAATTGCATTGTACAGAAACACATTATATAAGCTTACAAAGCCTAATGAGCACAGCATTCGCAATATTTATTCAACTTAAATTAAATACTCCCCAGACTGTGGGATAGTTTTTTTGTCCATTGTCTGAAAAGCGAACGAATCGCTTGGATCATATATCTTCAGCTGATTTAAGGAATGGCACAAGCCAGTTGTCTTGCAGTCATTCGATACCGACTCGCAAATTGATTGTCTTTTGTGCCGGGGAAAAGGTGAGACAATTATTTACAAATCCAGCTACCATTTGTCCCGCTCAGTCAATCCACTACCTCAAACCCCCCTTGAAGGGACGCCCCTGCAAAGACGGCAACTCAAAACAGGCAACTGGCTATTTGTTAGCATTTTGCAGTCATTACGCAATCCCCAGTAGCTGCCCCAGCAGGCAGCCCATAGCCCTTAATTAATGGCCACTTTTGGGAACAGTTGGCAGTTTCTAATTTCAAATAAATAAACGCAATCCCAACTGGTGGGTGGACATGCCATACCATACCATACCACCATGAAAAACCAAAAACTTCACAGCCACACGGGCACCTAGAAAATTCTACAACTCGATTTACCGATATCAAATGGAAATCCCACACTCGCCAAACCATTTTATTCATATTATTTATTTTCCTCTCTCACATTTAAATTTGGTTTTGTTGATTTTCATTTTTTTTTTTTTTTTTGGTTTTTGTTTTTTGCATTTGGATGCAAGCGTTCTATCCGAAAATTTCCGCTTGATTGCCACGTGTGGTAATTCCTCGCCCCGATAAACTTGGGGTTTATACCCCCGATTTCCTCCAAACCTCATCGCATCCTTTGTGCCATTTTTCATGTCAAAATTATTCAATTATTGGCGAGGCGAAGTAAAATAAACGAAATAAAAGAGAAGGCGGCGGCAAAGTAGCAAACTGAAAAAGGGCTTTGTATATTGGAATATTGGGATGGGCTCTCTGATTCTCTTTGCCGGATCTTGAATATAACATTTAAGTCCGCCAGCTGATTGATTTTTAAATAAAGAGGTAAAAATATATACATTAAAAGGGCAACTCTTAAGAGCACAGAACAATATTCAAGCTTTAAGTACTTAAGTACATTTGAGAACATTATAATACAAAAAAGAATTATTAAAAAACCATCTATAAGTTATCCTGCTTTCACAAATCCCGCTTAGTATATACTCCCGATTCTACCCTGGACTCATTGAGCGTGAAGGCAACAATATGGTTAGTGGTTATGTGTGGGTGAGTGTGTGTGTGTATGTGCGTGAGCGAGCGTTGACTTCCGGTCACCGCCATCTTGTGAGGGTCACATTTTCTGCATGCATTAATTTACAATTACGATAGACTGTCGACAGCTGCCTCCCCTTTCCCCTTTTCCCCTTCGATCCGATTCTGAATCCGAATCCTTCGCTTGGGCTTCGAAACTTATTATTCCGAGAAGAAATTAGGCAAAATGATGTGGCTTCGACTCTGTTGTTGACCTTTTTCGTCTGTGTTTTTTTCGGGTTATTAAACGATTTCGGGTTACGAAAAAGAAAACGACCCTTGCCCTTTGGCAAGATTCAGTTACTAAAAGCCGAGTAATGTCCTCTCGCAGGACAGGTGAGCAAATCTGTCAGCTCAAAGTTGCAGCAACGAAGTCCAGCCTGTGACGGCAATTAAATGAATCCCTATCAAAGGACTCCACAGACCAGTTTAACCCAATCCAGGAACCACAGGACAGCTGGTAAATGCTCGACCAATGGCGTCAATCAATTACTCTAGTTGAGAAAACGCATCTGCGGTGGCACACAAGGAATTCTGGGCGGAAAGGGGCGTGGCTTGTTCTTGGTATTAGTGTCGATTGGCTGGGAAAACAGTGAACGTAATGGCAGGATAATGGAGTGTGTTTCTGCAAAGCATTTTATTTATAATAGAATTTTCACAGCCAGATTTAAAGCTGAATAATTTACATTAAATAAATAACATGGCTTTAAGTTTTGTTGTATTTTGTAAGCCCTCATAGTTGTGGCAATTAAGCGAACCTCTTGCCCTTCTTTTCCGCAAAAAGTTTCTTAATTTTATGAGAGAGCATTGAAAGCCACTGACAAATCGATGGCAATCGAGAACCATTGAGGATTTCATCGATTGTTGTGGGACTTAAAGTTAAGCAGGCAAACAATCGGCCAATTAAGCGAACTCAACTCGGCAAAAGGACATACTTATGCGTATCGATGAATAAGCATGCAGGTGGATGCCAACTATATATGCAAAGAGGCGAATTTTATGAAGGATGCTCGTATTGTGTGTGTATGTGTGCCATGTTGACCAACTTGGCCGGCTGCCACAAAATGCGACAAACATGATAAAAGCAACAAAAAAAAAAATAGGGTAGGGAAATGCCGCGGAGCTGTCGTCCCTTTTACACGACCTTGACTGCACACACACTGCAAAATATACCATATGTATTTGTGCAAAAAAAAAAAAAAAAAACAGGGGGAAAAAAACCTTGTCTGGGCGAAAAGTTTGCGACTTGTTTTTGTGCTCGATGCGAAAAATGTGCGAGCTCGAGTCAATTAATTACAGGCAGCCGAACACAGAACTCAACCCATGCACACACACACACACACACGCGGAGACACAAAAACACACGCAGACTCACCCATACTGCCGTACATATATCATCTTTGTGCGGGGTTTTGTGTAGCATACAATTTGGGGCACACTCTCGTATAGACAAGCCCATCCCGTACATTCAGGATTCGAATTTTTATGACCAAAAGCGAAAATGTATGCATTCGACTTGTGTGCGGAATTGGTAACACAAAGGGCCCAAAATGCCATATGGCCATATAGATGATGATCCAACATATAGCCGATATATTTCCCAGCCCAACAAAAGTCTGGGTGAGTGTGTCCGCATAAATAAGCAAACAAATGAACGTCTAATGAGGTCAGAGAACGGGGCAATGGACATGTCCCACCCAATAAAAGTTACTCTTTGCATGTGTGAAGATGCTTACAGGCGCACACTGGCAGAAAATTAATGTAATTTGTGTAATTACATTATTACAAATGAAGTAATATTGAAGGAAATACGAATCATTCGTATTCTAATTGAATGAACATGTTCTGGGTTGAAACTATTTCTTTAAATTAAACTAATATATGAGATATTCTTAAGATATCTTATTTTTTTCAGTGTAATAACGCACTTTAGCTCCCCACACGCGCACTTATGGCATTCGCAATGTTGTGGCACTTACCGTAAACTGCTTGGCCAACAATTAGCAACATTAGCAGCGAACAGCGTGGCCCGTGGATTAACCTTTGATTTTGTTGCTGTTGATGTTGCTGTTGCTGTTTTTGTGGCCGCTGCTGTGCTTGTGGTGCGCTGCCAGTGCTGCTGCTTCTTCTTCTGCTTCGCATTTTGTGTGAGGTTTGCCAGCTTCAGTCTTATTGTCTCCGTCTCCCTCTAGCAAAAGCTCTCTCCTTCCCCTTCTGTTTCTCCGCTCGCAGTAAGAGTCCTCCACACGTAACTGTAAAATACAAGACAAGAAGAAGAACAGCGGGAATAAGTCCTGGATCCAGAAAATGAACAAGAAGTAATATACAAACAGCTATTCGCATACAAATAGTTGTGGGAATCAAATATAATAAGAAAAAAAGTGGTATTGAAAATGTCATTATATTTATATGTTCCCCACAAGTTTCCCTAGGGAAATTCATCTTTTAATAAAAGTAAGTCAAATAATTGCTGCTTAAAACAAATATAGATTTTAATAGAACAATTTTATTAAATTTTTTAGCCAAAGTTTTAGTTTGCAACATCAACTTTTTTTTAATATATTCTTGACTACATATAACATCGATGCTATTATTTTTGCCTCGTCTGTGTCGGGAGAAACATAACGGAAATCCAATTGAAGCGAGTGTAAGACAATTGCTCGAGTTTGTTCAAACAATTTTTGCGCTCCTTTCGTCGCGCCAACCAATGAGTTTTTCCTCAAATTGAGTTTTCGCCGCTGGCGAAATGTCAGCACCAAAATAAATGATAATCCCATCAAGTGTTGGCAAATTGCTGAGAAATATATTGCAATTTGTTGGGAATTTGGTGAAGGATTATCAGAGTGCCTGATGACAGGAAACAAGGGTGTTGATATGGAATTTAAGAATTTAATTAATTGGGATTTCGTTAGCAAACAAGTAATAAATAAACTTTAAACACCACTAAAGCAGGAAAAACTATTTATTTAAAAGTTATTGGATATTTTCTTTGGATTTTATGCAACATTTTCTGCATAGAACATGGAAAAACTGCCTTGAATTCTTTAGGTCCAAGTTCTTGCGGCACATATTTTCCCTTGTCACTGACATTGTTTGATGAAAGTGAAATCTTGGAAAACATGAAAGGAGGTCTCCTGCACACATTCACCTCTTCTATTTTTTTTTTGTAGATTTTTTCGGGGCTTCACCGACTGCACCTGACTGACCCAAATGTGTTGACATTTTTTTTTTTCAGCTGGCTGTGCCCCCCGTGGAAAGCGCCCCCTGCGGCGCCATAAAGCATGACCCAATTGAATTGTTACGCTCGTGCTAATAAAATTTTATGTGCGGCTATTATTAGGCTCTCGTGTCTGTTCGTGTCCTGCGGCACCACAACAAACAATGTCACTTAGGTCTGTGGGTTATCCTATTCGTACACGCAGAATACTTGCCACACAATCGAAGGATAACTGATCTGCTTTTATATCGAAAGAGATTAAAAGTGTATTTTATTTACCCCAAGCTTTGTTAAATAAAACCACTTTTTCATTATACATGTTTACCCTTTTTTTCTTTTGGCAACTCTGTTAAAAAATAAGTTTCAATTATTTTCCATTCAGTTTAAAAGCTCATCTGTTATTACTCGCAGTTCAATAATATTTAAAAAAAATGTATACACAAAAACTTATTTTTATTTATCTTTCAATAACCTTGATGCGAAATACTTTTTGTGCCCCATATTTCTCTGTGTATCTTTATGTGGTTTGAGTATGGACTTTTACTTGTTTTTGCGGAATTATTTTGTCCGTGCGACTGTTGAAATTTTATTTTGATACTGTGATGCTTTTAAGGCGAAACTAATTTGTTTCCTGTATTGACTTTGGCTGGTTTGGCAAAGGGTCCCGCTTTTCGGCTTCGAATCGCCAGTCGCGACGGCGTCCAAAATTTATGCATAACTTCGCTCTTTCCGAATCTTTGATATCCAAACGCTTTGATTACACGCCCCGCCACCCAATCGTCCATTTAGCCATTCCTTAGCCACGATTTTCCACTTTATTCTCTGCATGTTTTTCGCATTTTTTGCGCTTCAGTTGTCTTAGGCGATTCCTCGTGGCGTTAAGTAGTCAAAAACGAAAAAAAAAAAAAAAGAGAAACGATGAAAAAACATGCCGTTCTGCAGACGAATGGAATGGTAAGGAAAAATGAGAAAAACGGAGGCCACTTCAATCGGGGAAATGCGAGGAAAAGCGGGAACGGCCAGCTACCCCGCCCACACGATTTGCATGGAGGCGTCGAGACAAAAGGGCGCTTAAATCCCGAATAGGGATCACGGCCAAAAACGGGACATTTCCCAGGACTTTCATTAGGCCAAAAACAAGGGAAAAAATGTGTGCAATTGACGCAAATGCCTGGTGTCATTTGTGGGCAGCAAAGAAAGGGGTTCAAATCCAACTGAGTTTGGAAAAGGATTTCGTTTGGCAAGAGGAGACGCGTTTAGTGGGGGGTCCAATTTCCCAAGTAAAAATCTCGCGTTTAACGGCTGAAGGAGCTCAAATTTGAAGTGCTTAAGTAGGGAATATTTTTTGAATTGTCTAATAAAATGTTTATAATGGTTATAAGGGTCTTGAGGGTCTAGTAATGTATCCAATATTTTTTTGTTAATCTATTGTCTTAAATCAACTTCTATGTTTAACAGTGTATCAGATTTATGTGATATTTAGTCGAAAATATTTTAAAATATTGTTCAAAGTGCTTGCATTTATTCGATGTTTCTTCTCACTCTAGGTTAACGAAGCAATTGAAAACAACACTTATGTTGCTATTTTGAGTTTTACAATTTAATCAAACAATTACATTTTTAATTTGTTGTGCATGACATGCAAAGTAACCAGCTTAAAATCCAAGGGCACCAAAAACATCGAACAGATACAGATATTGATTGGAGACTTCAGCCCCTTTGTGTTTTCAATGGCAGGCTAACAAAAACTTTCGCACCAGCGTGGAGCCAAGCCACATATGTATATTCTCATCAATTTGCCATAATTTCTGCCCCCCGGAAAACAGCCATAAAGTGTCGTAAAGTGCATTAGAGCGCACTTGGCATAACGCAGCCAACAATAAGGAAACACCAAGGAGCCAGGACTCCGACTACGACTCCGACTCTTCGATTCAGGAGGCAGGACACAGGACTCAGGACTCAGGACTTGATGGCTGACAGGCAAAGAGCAACAGAAGTCCAAATGTGTGCGGTGTGCGTGCTTGTGTGTTTGTGTGTGTTTTGCATAAATATTCATGGTGGCCCCGGGGGGCGGGGGAGTCCACAAGAACTGCGCCAGCGGGGCGACTAACACCTTCTGGCAAAAAAAAAAAAAGCGAAGCGAAAATGCTGAGGAAAAAAATGGCAAGGGGGGAAAACAAAAAGCGTGGAGGCAAAAAACACAGGAGGAAAATTCCCCGCTGTCGTTTGCCGTTTTGCCATTCCTGCCCGATTCCCCATACTTTATGCCCATTTCTGATTGTTTATTAGTGCGGCAAAGTCCAACGAGTGGGCCCCAAAAGGGGGGCGTGGCCATTGGGGAAAGGCATTTTTAATGCCTTCGTACATTTATTGGCGTGTTTTACGCGCCATAAACTGAAATTCATAAACATTTTTTATGCACTTACATGTGTAAATGTGTTCGGTTCGCTTTTGGTTTGCAGGAATGCATCCTTTGGGGTGGGCGGTGTCGGTGGGTTAAGGGCTCTGCGGGTTAAGGGCGGCCAAGGGGTGGCTAAGGGGTGCCACCACCAAAGGTAACATACACATATTTTTTGTCGAGCTGACGGCATCTCTCCCCGTGTGTTTGTGTGAGTATGTGATATCCTGCATTGCGAAAATGCGGCATAAAAATTCATTTTATTGCTTACGTTTTCGTATTGTGCCGCTACCACGCCTTGGACAGCGGGGCAGCTAAGGGTTAAGGGGTCGTATGTCTTAGGTGCACCTCGGAATTATATATGAGCACGTTGGAGCAACAGTTTTTGTCCCAGTAACGGCTTTGAAAAATTTACAACACAACACAGTATTTGAATACCCTCTGCAGAAAATAATAAAAAGTATTGCAGTTGAGTTGCCAAAAAGCCTTTTAGGTAATATCAAGTGCGGATTTGGGTGCATTTAAAGAGATTACAAATCGCAAAACAGCATTAAAAACGTTATATGTTGCCAGAGTAATTTAATAAAATTTAATCAATAGAATTGAAAGTATTTTATTCAAAACAAATTTGAAATTAATCAGTTTTATGCTGTGGGCTGTTCAATAAATATCACGCGTTTGTTGGCCGATCAATCAAAAGCTTGCGATCTCGTTGCTAGTCAAAATGCGAATGCCTGTTTATTGTGTGTATGCATATATCCTAACAACATGTTGCTAAAGCTTAGGGATAATTTACAGATATGCTTATAGATAATTATGTTATGTGTATTTACAAATGTGTGATGTATACATAGGTGCTTATATATATTTGTATGTATATGTATACTACTTATCTCCTACAACTCGGCCTATCCTGACTGGAGTGCTCCTGAACTCCAACATCATCTTCTTTATGTGCCTCTGTCCTCAACCAAGGCTTCATATTGGCCACTGCCCACACTCCTTTATAAGGTATCCTTGACTGTTGGAAATTGTCTACATCTTCCAATATATATCTATCATTTTTCAAAATCTTACTTATTTTATACGGTCCTTTATATTTTGGTACAAGTTTTTTACATATCCCTACATTAGTGTCAAAATTTTTAATCATTACTAAATCTCCTTCTTCATATTTATGTGGTTCTTTTCTCTTTTCATCCACAGCTTTTTTATTATATTCTTGTAATTTTTCTTGGTGTACTCTAGCCGTTTCTCGTATTTCTTCTATATTTCTATCTTCCGTTACTCCATTCAGTTCTTCCAATTCCTCTTTTAGTTTGTCTATTTCTTTACCTCTTTGCGTTACTCCAAATAGCATTTTGCTTGGGTGCTGTTTTATTGATCTTTGAACTGTATTATTAAGTGCATACTCTACTTGTTCTAATACCATATCCCAATGTAACCCTTTCTCTGAATTTACTAGTTTTGCGATCATTGGTCCCAATATACGGTTTACCCTCTCCACTTGCCCGTTTGCTTGGGGAGATCCTGTGGCAATTTTAACATGTTTGACTTCATTTTGTTCTAGAAACTTTTCAAAATCATCTGACGTAAAACAGCTACCCCTGTCTGATACAATACACCGTGGTCTACTA